CGAGGCAAAAACTGCGTCTTAAAATTATCTTGATATCGTCATGAAAGAAATGGCCTCCCTCGATAACAACTTTCATCAAGGACACACACACGTGCCTTGTTCTGCCTGGGTGAAACTGGCCTCTAACATGTTGTTGTTGTTGTTATAGATTCGCTACCTGGAACAAAACGTTCCAAATAGCACGGGCTATGGTGATCCCGTATGGCCTCTATCTTGAGGTTATCTTGAGATGATTTCGGGGCTTTAGTGTCCCCGCGGCCCGGTCCTCGACCAGGCCTCCACCCCCAGGAAGCAGCCCGTGACAGCTGACTAACACCCAGGTACCTATTTTACTGCTAGGTAACAGGGGCATAGGGTGAAAGAAACTTTGCCCAGTGTTTCTCGCCGGCGCCTGGGATCGAACCCAGGACCACAGGATCACAAGTCCCGCGTGCTGTCCGCTCGGCCGACCGGCTCCCTCTAGCAGCCAGTGTCACGTGAAGCGAAGAGCTCGATAGTCGTGTTTATCAACGACATACCTGCTTGATGGGGTTCTGGGAGTTCTACTGCCCAAGCCCGGCCCGAGGCCAGGCTTGACTTGTGAGAGTTTGGTCCACCAGGCTGTTGCTTGGAACGGTCTGCTAGTAATCATTATTGTGTGTCTGCTGGGAAAATATGCGTCACGCACAAGACTGTGTGACAAGTAACTTGTTAGAGTAATGACTTCCGATATGCCTGCTTTTCTCGTCAACGAGGCGTAGGGACCCCTGCTGTAAACCCACACGGAAAAGAGGTTATGATAATCGAGTATTAGTTTCTTGGGTAAGATTTAAACAGCGTTCAGCACCTTAAGTTGGCTTTAGAAATATGAAACTTGAGTCAGGTTATACTTGTGAGGATGGAACCGGTCGGCCGAGAGGACAGCACGCTGGATTTGTGATCCTGTGGTCCTGGGTTCGATCCCAGGCGCCGGCGAGAAACAATGGGCAGAGTTTCTTTCACCCCATGCCCCTGTTACCTAGCAGTAAAATAGGTACCTGGGTGTTAGTCAGCTGTCACGGGCTGCTTCCTGGGGGTGGAGGCCTGGTCGAGGACCGGGCCGCGGGGACACTAAAGCCCCGAAATCATCTCAAGATAACCTCAAGAAGAAGACGGAACCAGGCAAGAGAGTCTCGTTATAAGGCTCAGAAACGTCTTAAAGAATTTCACTTAACAAATCTTGCGGTTAACAGGAGGAAAGTAGACGTCGAGGCTACAGCCCACAAGCCTGAGGAATATAAAGTCAATCCTCTGACGTATCACGAGGGCCAACACTGTGCGTGCGCAAGGCAGCATGTATAGCATGCTCCTACTGCATACAACCTCACAAACGACATCAACAAACACCAATCTAACAACTGGTAAACAATGCCCCCCCCCCCTCCCCAATAGTTTGCATCAAACGCTGAATGTGAAGCTGAATGTATTCACTTAGTTGTGCTTACGGGGGTGAGCTCTGCTCTTTCGGCCCGCCTCTCAACTGTCAATCAACTGTTTCTACTACTACATTGGCTAGTCTTTGGTTTACCCTTCAACACATCAATATTTTCATTACTGATATACCTCCCTCCCTCACTCTCTCCCTCTCTTTGTCTCTTCTCTCCGTCTTTTCTCTCCCTCTCTGTCTCTTCTCTCCCTCTCTTTCTCTCCAACAGACCTGAGAGCCTCCAGGGCCGTATTCCTGCCTGTTGCTTGCCTCATTTACATTTTATGTGGAAAAAGAGAACCCGGGTGTTGACTGAGGTCTGGTGGCAGCCCCCACACACACACACGGAACAACTCCTGCATCTCTATATTAATGTTCAAACTTCTTAACAAATTCCAGAACAAATCTGTTTTCTATCTCAGTTCCTCAGGTATTATGATAACAGATTCTTGGCCCTGACCTGCAAATGTCTTTTCCTAAATTGATATAAAATTTAAAACACGAAGACATTCAAAATGCAGCAGCTTCCATATATATGTATATAAAGACATATTTAGCAATAGTTGAACGTACGAGCATGATATTCCAAGACACAATTTGATATTTTTCCTCTTAATTCCGCCTCTTCAGGATTTCTCCACTTTCTGATGAGTGGTTTGACCTTCAGCCACGTTATTGTGACTCATCGTCTGCATCAATGCAAAACATTACGAACTGGAGTGATCCCTAAAAATATGCCAGCGGCGCATGGTTGTAGAACATCCTCCCTGTATCCCTAATAGTATGCCAGCGGCGCATGGTTGTAGAACATCCTCCCTGTATCCCTAATAGTATGCCAGCGGCGCATGGTTGTAGAACATCCTCCCTGTATCCCTAATAGTATGCCAGCGGCGCATGGTTGTAGAACATCCTCCCTGGGTCCCTAAAAATATGCCAGAGGCGCATGGTTGTAGAACATCCTCCTGGGTCCCTAAAAATATGCCAGAGGCGCATGGTTGCAGGAGCCCAGTCTCGGACTTGAGAGAAGGAAACAAATCTAGCATAAATATTGGTCGGTGTGGAGTCTAAATGGCGCAGTGAGACCAGTCAAAATGATTCAGTCTGCAACTTGCACCACGGAGAGAGAGAGAGAGAGAGAGAGAGAGAGAGAGAGAGAGAGAGAGAGAGAGAGAGAGAGAGAGAGAGAGAGAGAGAGAGAGAGAGAATAAGAGGCTGAGAATAAAATTCACTACGTGCCCTTTCGCTCACCAATTACCTTAATGGAGCACTTCGACTACTACTCATTTTGCCGATTTTCCGAGCGATAAGGAGTCATGCCAACGGTGGTCTAATCACCGGTTCGAAGACCGCCTGGTGATTGGTGAGGGAGTGCCTGGCTGCTGTGGTTGTAGAAGTGATTGGTGAGAGTGTGGGGGATTGGGTGTTATTGTAGGGGTTGGGTGATTGGTGTGGGTCTTGGAGTGGATGACTGGTGAGCAATGCGAATGTGGAAGATGAGTTTGAGTGCACCACGGGTCATTATAGTAGATGAGTGTGTGATGAATAACGAGTGTTAAAATTGGTAAGCTAGTAGGCCAGGATAACTGGGAGAGGGCGGACGCTCCATGTTGCTATCTATGTGATAGCATGTTTTGTGAGAACAGGTTGACTGTGGGTGAAAGAATGAGTGTGTGTAGACGCATGAATGTTGACCAAACCACACACTAGAAAGTGAAGGGACGACGACGTTTCGGTCCGTCCTGGACCATTCTCAAATCAATTGTGCACATTCTCGGAAGCATAAATGTATGTGTGGGGGTAGAGCATGGGGGCCCCTGAACAAAGAAAACCTTTTTTATATCCAAAAAAAGTGAATCATTACCAAAGATTGACACAAAAAAGGGGGGTATCAAACACAGAAAGCCACAAAGATGGGTCAAAAAACAGTCGAGATGTCCACGAATGGGGGTAGATGTACCCCACCTCCTCCCTATCCTTACCTATCCATCCCTATCCTTACCCGTCTGTGCAGCGCCTCAGTTGGAACAAACTCAGGATTTCCAACCGAGAGAGAGAGAGAGAGAGAGAGAGAGAGAGAGAGAGAGAGAGAGAGAGAGAGAGAGAGAGAGAGAGAGAGAGAGAGAGAGAGAGAGAGAGAGAGCGAGAGGAAAAGGTTATGTTTCTCCCAGGATTGTCTAGAGCCGCAATAAGCAGGCCCAATAACTAACCCCGTCTGGCATGGTTCGCGCACCAGGTAAATTACCTCCAAATACTTTAAGCTGAAAAAAACTAATAAGTATAAAATAAAGTGATTACAGAGATCAGTGAGCCGACCGGCTGGCGACTCGATCTCTTGGACGCTGGGAACGGATGTCTGGCCTGATGGGGGGGGGGGGGGATGGGGGGAAGGGGGAAGCCCGATAAACGGATGATAGAATAAGGAAGATGTATGAGAAAATGGAAGACAGATGAAAGGGGGGATACGAGAGAATCACTGATAACTAGAGAGACATATTTGAATTACCTTTTCCCGTCTGATTCCTGTCTGACAACACAGTTAAGCACCTAATGTGAAATGATGATAACATAATAACAGAACGTAACATGAAATATCCTGGTACGATACCCCGAGATGAACACCTAACTGACCCCCAACAAACACCTCAGACCCCCAACCCACTTCCAAGCTCGCCTAACCTAACCTAACCTAACCTAACCTAACCTAACCTTCCAGGTTCCAACACATTCCCAATGTACTATTCGCTAATATTACCAAAGCCCCCCCCACACACACACACACACACACACACACACACACACACACACACACACACACACACACACACACATACACACACACACACACACACACACACACACATACACACACACATACACACACACACACACACACACACACACACACACACACACACACACACACACACACACAAATGTCCATACCTTATCGGGAAATAATACACAAGGATTTCCGAATGGCCCATTGACATTACTGCAGGATTTAATTTTATAATGGAGAAGCAGTAGATATTTCACATTTTAATTGATAAATGCGCGCAGGGAGGAAGTCTCTTTGAAGCGCCGTAAAACATTAACGAGTCGTCGGAACTATCCTTGCAGAATGGTACCAAAAATATCGATGAAACATAATGAAATGAACCAGGGGTTACTGAAGGGGGGGGGGGGGGAATGGAGAAGTGAGAGAGGAGAGAGAGGCAAAGGACAGAGAAGGGTGAGAGAGGAGAAAGGGAGAGAACAGAGAGGCCTGAGAAGAGAGAGGGAGAGAACAGAGAGAGAGAGGTGAGAGGACAGTGATGAGAGGAGAGAGGACAGAGAGGAGAAGAGGATAGAGAGAAGAAGAGAGAGTGGTAAGAGTGAGAAAGAAGTGACAGAAAGGGGCAGAAAGGAAAACAAAAAGAGATTCTCTTTCTCTTTCACCCCACTTCCCCTTACTGCCCTCAATATCCTCCGGCCCATTTCATCGTATCTTATCTACATTTTTTAGGCATACAAGACCAAACAGGGAGTGGAAAAGGCAGTAAACACGAAGATAAACTTAGGTGAAAACACGAGAAGGGAGGAAGAGGAGGACTGGAGGAAAGAGTGGCAACAGCAGAGTCAAAGGGAGAGAGGAAGCAGGCGGTGGAATATAATCCACAAGCAGGCAGCTTAAGAGCCTGCTGGAGCCTGCTGGAGCCTGCTGGAGCTTGCTGGAGCCTGCTGGAGCCTGCTGGAGCCTGCTGGAGCTTGCTGGAGCCTGCTGGAGCCTGCTGGAGCCTGCTGGAGCTTGCTGGAGCCTGCTGGAGCCTGCTGAAGCCTGCTGGAGCTTGCTGGAGCCTGCTGGAGCCTGCTGGAGCTTGCTGGAGCCTGCTGGAGCCTGCTGGAGCCTGCTGGAGCTTGCTGGAGCTTGCTGGAGTTTGCTGGAGCCTGCTGGAGCCTGCTGGAGCTTGCTGGAGCTTGCTGGAGTCTGCTGGAGCCTGCTGGAGCTTGCTGGAGCCTGCTGGAGCCTGCTGAAGCCTGCTGGAGCTTGCTGGAGCCTGCTGGAGCCTGCTGGAGCTTGCTGGAGCCTGCTGGAGCCTGCTGGAGCTTGCTGGAGCTTGCTGGAGTCTGCTGGAGCCTGCTGGAGCCTGCTGGAGCCTGCTGGAGCTTGCTGGAGCTTGCTGGAGCCTGCTGGAGCCTGCTGGAGCTTGCTGGAGCCTGCTGGAGCCTGCTGGAGCCTGCTGGAGCCTGCTGGAGACTTACCACCTCGGCTCCCGTATGTGGCATTAATGGAGAAAATCTCTGCCCAACTCTTGCGAAGCGTTGTAACCATAAGTTGTCGCCTCTATCATAGTGTAACTCTCACCAAAGTTCTCAGCCCTCAGTAATATACACCACGTGTGTGTGTGTGTGTGTGTGTGTGTGTGTGTGTGTGTGTGGTGTGTGTGTGTGTGTGTGTGGTGTGTGTACTCACCTAATTGTACTCACCTAATTGTGCTTGCGGGGGTTGAGCTCTGGCTCTTTGGTCCCGCCTCTCAACCGTCAATCAACTGGTGTACAGATTCCTGAGCCTATTGGGCTCTATCATATCTACATTTGAAACTGTGAATGGAGTCAGCCTCCACCACATCACTTCCTAATGCATTCCATTTGCTAACTACTCTGACACTGTGTGTGTGTGTGTGTGTGTGTGTGTGTGTGTGTGTGTGTGTGTGTGATTACCTAAGTGTAGTTCCAGGATGAGTGGTGTCTCGTCTTCCCAGTACTCTTTGTCGTATAACGTTTTGAAACTGTGTGTGTGTGTGTGTGTGTGTGTGTGTGTGTGTGTGTGTGTGTGTGTGTGTGTGTGTGTGTGTGTGTGTGTGTGTGTGTGTGTGTGTGTGTAAGCCAACGATCCGTCGCAGTCGCCATATTTTTACGCACAAAGCTCTTGGCTGACATATTAATTGACCCAAGATAGATAGAGCGCCGCCTTGCGCGCATAATTTATACAGCTTTTCTGTCGCATTACTCCGGCGACATTTCTTAAGAGCGCTCCGGTTACTTGTTCAATAATGGTGTCCAGCGTAGAGAGAGACACGCCTTCCTCGCCCTGTGTCTTCCCTATCTCTCCTCCCAAGACGCACCCCGACACTTTGCAATCCAGTCAACTATTCAGGTGCAAGTCGCTACAGGTCAAAGGTTACTTGGCAGTGCACTCTGCGTATACTTTAAATAATCAAGGAATCAACTTAAGTAATCAAGGAGCATCATACGTTCTTGTGAAGATATCGTACCTTGTTATCATCTCAGTTTGAGATGTGTTGAGCAACATCAGGTCTATTACGCCAAGAACGGTGATATGTCGACTGTGCAGTGTGTCAACATTGCAAACACGTTGTACTGAGCAGTGTTGACGGCTTCTTAAGTGCTGAGCACACTGAGTTGCCTCATATCCCTCCGTCTCAATTTATAGGTCAATAAAACATTTCAATTTCAAAATCTGTTCTATCTCAATTGGTTATTGCGATAACGTAATACTGTAATGTTGGTGAGGTTATCAACCCAGCTGGTGACGTGTGTGTAATAAATCGTGTATTCTAGTGTGTGGCATTTGTCCCCCCAGAGATCCAGTTAACTATGCCTGGGGGCTTCAGGCACCCCTCAGTTCTGAGAGGTACTGTTTACGATACTGGTGATACATCACACATCATCACCTGCTTTATTTTGACCAGATCACACACTAGAAGGTGAAGGGACGACGACGTTTCGGTCCGTCCTGGACCATTCTCAAGTCGATTGTGAGAATGGTCCAGGACGGACCGAAACGTTGTCGTTCCTTCACTTTCTAGTGTGTGGTCTGGTCAACATATTTCAACTACGTTATTGTGACTCAACGGCTGTATCACCTGGTTTACTTATCTTTACTTCTCTATACTTATATCCATCGCTTGAGTGACAGTCACTCACCCAGGCACTCTATAATGCTCTAAATTATCCATCTCTGTATATCTGTATCTCTGAACTAAAACCCAGGGGCCAGATTCTCGAAGCAGTTACGCAAGCACTTACAAACCTATACATCTATTCTTAATCTTTGGCGGCTTTGTTTACAATTATTAAACAGTTAATGAGCTCCGAAGCACCAGGAGGCTGTTTATAACAATAACAACAGTTGATTGGCAAGTTTTCATGCTTGTAAACTGTTTAATAAATGTAACCAAAGCCGTCAAAGATTGAGGAAAGATGTGCACGTTCGTAAGTGCTTGCGTAACTGCTTCGTGAATCTGGCTCCAGGATTTTATAGGACTGGGATAAAAATTATTTCATTCATTTTAGTAGCAGTAACTTTTTTTTGTTTTATTTATCTCGGCTCATATTAAAAGCCAGGCCAAAGCTCTTGCTTTATTACCCACTTTTTTGTTAAGCGTTTACTTTATTAAAGTAATAAGACCGGATGGAACAGGAGGCCTGGTCGACGACCGGGCCGCGGGGACACTAAGCCCCGGAAGCACCTCAAGGTAGCCAAGTGTTAAGTGTCACTTATATTAGAGGGCTAAGCTGGAGCCATACCTGCTCCCTAGACTAGTCATTGTAGCGAGTTTACTGGATTTATTAGTTGCGATTAGTGGCTGTATAATACAATACCTAAGTGATGTTTTCCCAGATGGAAGACCGGATGGAACAGTTTTCCCAGATGGAAGACCGGATGGAACAGTTTTCCCAGATGGAAGACCGGATGGAACAGTTTTCCCAGATGGAAGACCGGATGGAACAGTTTTTCCCAGATGGAAGACCGGATGGAACAGTGTTCCCAGATGGAAGACCGGATGGAACAGTTTTCCCCCAGATGGAAGACCGGATGGAACAGTTTTCCCAGATGGAAGACCGGATGGAACAGTTTTCCCAGATGGAAGACCGGATGGAACAGTTTTCCCAGATGGAAGACCGGATGGAACAGTTTTCCCAGATGGAAGACCGGATGGAACAGTTTTCCCAGATGGAAGACCGGATGGAACAGTGTTCCCAGATGAAAGACCGGATGGAACAGACCATCCGAGAGAACGGCAGTGTTCAAGACATGAGTGAACGTGCATCTTGTCTAAAGCGTTTTGCTGCCAACGTATCAGATTTGTATTCTGTATGTTATAAAACCTAAACTACGAGCTGAATTAGCGCTAACTGGCAGTATATTGTCATTAGGAAGAGTGAAACTACTGCAGGGCGTCAGTGTGTCTTGTGTTAGAAGGTGGTCGCCTTACGGTTGTCTTAGAACGTTGAGACCTTTGCATACAACAGTTAGGACTCGAGTCTTCTATAGATCTTAAGACTGTTGATGTACAGGGTCTAGGTAAGATGGGTTTGAGACTCAAGGCCAGTCCTCTTGTATAGTTCACTGTCTTGTCCAGTATGTCAAGACCGGATGGAACAGTTTTCCCAGATGGAAGACCGGATGGAACAGTTTTCCCAGACGGAAGACCGGATGGAACAGTTTTCCCAGATGGAAGACCGGATGGAACAGTTTTCCCAGATGAAAGACCGGATGGAACAGTGTTCCCAGATACAAGACCGGATGGAACAGTGTTCCCAGACGCAAGACCTGATGGAACAGTTTTCCCAGATGGAAGACCGGATGGAACAGTGTTCCCAGATACAAGACCGGATGGAACAGTGTTCCCAGACGCAAGACCTGATGGAACAGTTTTCCCAGATGAAAGACCGGATGGAACAGTGTTCCCAGATGGAAGACCTGATGGAACAGTTTTCCCAGATGGAAGACCAGATGGAACAGTTTACCCAGACACAAGACCCGATGGAACAGTTTTCCCAGATGAAAGACCGGATGGAACAGTGTTCCCAGACGCAAGACCTGACGGAACAGGGTTTTCCCAGATGGAAGACCGGATGGAACAGTTTTCCCAGATGAAAGAACGGATGGAACAGTTTTCCCAGATGAAAGACCGGATGGAACAGTGTTCCCAGATGGAAGACCGGATGGAACAGTTTTCCCAGATGGAAGACCGGATGGAACAGTGTTCCCAGATGGACGACCGGATGGAACAGTTTTCCCAGATGAAAGACCGGATGGAACAGTTTTCCCAGATGAAAGACCGGATGGAACAGTGTTCCCAGATGGAAGACCTGACGGAACAGTGTTCCCAGACGCAAGACCGGATAGAACAGTGTTCCCAGACGCAAGACCGGATGGAACAGACCATCCGAGAGAACGGCAGTGTTCAAGACATGAGTGAACGTGCATCTTGTCTAAAGCGTTTTGCTGCCAACGTTGTAAATCATGTCGAGTTGCTTCTTAAAGTTGACCCTTCGGCTGCCGCCTTACATGCGCTCTCCAGCACGTGCTTCGCCCTCGTAAGACCAAGTGTCACCCCTCAAGATGTCTACTTCATCTACGAAAGTAGATGAAGTAGATCACTCGATAGATATATCATTGTATCCAATGCTTATAATCAGTTGTTTTAGGAGAATCGTTATATCCCATATCTGGGATATAACGTCTAACGTTACGTCTCTGGCTTGCCTCGGCCGGATATACCAGGCCAGTATAACGATATATCTCCGAGCCGAGAGGGAGTGGGGTAAGCTCCTTATTATACCAGCATGCCGTAAGCTTATTAAATTCGGAGCGTCTGTAATGAAAACTTAACTTGGAAGACTGGAGTCAGGATGCTAGCGAAGGCGCTTTAAGATGCTCCCCCACGATCCTCAAGCAGCCTCCCCGCGAAGCAACCAGATTAGGCAAAAGAAATACTGGAGGAAATCAAGTCCTGGGAAATGCAATGTTCGCGAAAATCATGGTCTGTGAGATCCGCTATTCAGGGCCTTCCCGGTCCAAGCAGATTAAATATTAAACTTGCCCGAGTATAGAGAGTGTGTGTGTGTGGGGGGAGGGATGGGGGGCGAGAGGGAGGGGGGAGGGGGGGGAGGGATAGTAAAGAAATCGTCAAATATGGACTCAATTTATTGCAGGAAACAATGGTTATTAATTATGATCTTGGTTAAGGTGTAAACAATGTGAGCAAAATACAGAGACAGACAGAGAGAGAGAGAGAGAGACAGAGAGACAGGGAGGGACAGAGAGACACAGAGACAGGGAGCGACAGAGAGAGACACAAAGACAGGGAGAGACAGAGAGAGACACAGAGACAGAAAGAGACAAAGAGAGACACAGAGACAGAAAGAGACAGAGAGAGAAGGGATGTGTCGATATAAGTTCGGGTGCCGTATAAGTTCCCATATATTACCATTATTTCTTCTTATTTCTTTAGTATTGGATTTCCTTTTGGTGGAAAGAAGCCGGGTCCAGCCGGATGCTACAGCGGAGAGAATTAGCTC